TACTGTGGTCAAAAATTTTATAGACACTCAGGTTTAATGTTAGTGCTATCTGCTGAAGGAGGAACAGCCAGGACTCAGTGGGCATAGAAGTCACGTTTCTAATTCTGCAGATCAAAACCTCATTAACCCATAAGCCCATAATTTGGAATTTATGGTAACATAGGAGAAATTTAATTTTCTGGTGTCTGTGAAGGTAAGGTTTGCCAGACAAATAAATAGAGGGTATTTTTGACTAGCATAAGGAAAAAAATATTTGATAAAGTTAAACTACTCTAGGAATATTCTTTAGCACATAAAAATAAAGGTGCATTCATAAATAAGATATTTGGAGAGGTTATTTTAAAATGGTTCTTATTTGTATATTACAGTAGGTCCAGGAAGCCATATACTTGACAACACTTTATTAGTAATTAGTAAGTTAGTACTGAAAGTAATAAATGTATATTTTCTTTCAGCATATTCTTTCTTTCTCCCTACTCTTCAGTATTACTGAAATTTCTACACACTATTTAAAAAGACCCCAATCAATATTCAAAGCTGAGACTCATTATTCATTTTAAAAAAGAATAATAAATACAAATGTTTAATCAATTCAGCAAAACAGGTAACCCATGTTCCATGAGAACTTTGTCCATGCTGCACCAGAAGCAGGAGGTCAGGGAAGATGCCCTGGCACCTGTGGGCATATCCTATACTTGTTCTTCAACAGGTTAAAGGCTATGGTGTGGAATACCACGTTACCTTCCCCCCAGCTGAATTGTGTGAGATTCTAGGGAGGGAATCAGGGTGGCAGAGGGACACAATGGCTCAACTTTTGAATTTTATACCAGGAGCATGTCGTATCTATTCAAAACTTTTAAAACTTCTTTTTTATTTTGCGGTACGCGGGTCTCCCACTGCCGTGGCCTCTCCCGTTGCAGAGCACAGGCTCCAGATGCTCAGGCTCAGCGGCCATGGCTCACGGGCCCAGCCGCTCCGCCGCACGTGGGATCCTCCCGGACCGGGGCCCGAACCCGTGTCCCCTGCATCGGCAGGCGGACTCCCAACCACTGCGCCACCAGGGAAGCCCTAAAACTTTTTAAGGATTTAATACAGTTGACTAGTCCTTTTTTATCAGAATATTATCTTTTCTTGGCTTTGATCATACCACAGTGATTTTCCTCTTACCTTTTGGGCCATTTCTAATTTCACTCTTCTGGATGACTGTAATTGCCCTTCTCTGGAAGGTTCTCTTCTTAGTCTGTTCATCCTGCCTGCATAAGTCTCATATACTCCCATGACTTAAGTTGTTTGCATCTGCAGGATCATCAAATACAGACTTATTCATTAAAATGTACGTACTAGGTTTCTACTATGGGCACTAGGTACTAGAATACAGCACTTAGCAAAGCAGGCAAAATTTTCTGTTGTTCTGAACTTGCATTCCAGTCAGGAAGACAGAATTACAATGGGCAAAATAAAATATGTTAGACAGTAATAGGTCTTAAAGAGAAACAGACAGAAAGGGAGTTAGTGTCAGGATGGGATGCAGAAATTTTGTACTGGCCCCACATCAGCCCTCAGTTCTGAGCTTCAGGTACATATATCAAAATGTCCAGTGCACCCTGGATGACTAGCTGGGACCTTAAACTCATCGTGACCCAAACTGAATGTACTATCCCTATCAACTGTCTTCTACCACCACCACTGAGATGCTCAAACCAGAATGTATGAGTCATTCTTGAATCCTTCTTTTCCCTCATTCCTCATATCCCATGGGTGACACAGTTAGCCAGTTCTCCCACATAACTCTAGCCCCTTCTCTCCATCTTCACTGTCACTATCCTAATTTGGACCAACATCACCTCTCACCTGGATTCTTGCAGTAAGAAATCCCCTATAGCCATCACCACCTTCCTCCAGTGTGATTAAAACTCATCTTGTCACTTCTCTACTTCAACAGGCCAGTGGAACCGAATTGCTCTTGCCCAGCTCCCCAGACACACCACTCTTGGAGCCACTCTTACCCTTGTCCCCTAGTCTTTGTTCTTCCTTCATTCTTCATTTATGCCATCCTCTCTTGGTCCAGGATATTTTCACATACTGTTTCTTCTTCCTGGAATATTCTTCCCCCAACTCTTCATCAGGCTAACTCGTCTTTCAAATTTCAATTAAAACATCACTCATTCAGGCAAGTTTTACCCAAATCCTCAAACTGAGTTATTTGCATCAATTATGCATTCCATAATATCCTACCTTCCCCACTTCACAATACATGCTACATGTGTTATCACTTCTATACTGCTCTTTCCCACACTGGAACGTAAGCTCCAAGAGGATAAGGGCAATGTCTGCCTTTTCAACACATCATCCCTAGTGCTCGTCAAATAATGTTTGACGTAGAATAGGTGCCCAGTACATATTTACTGAACAAATGAATAAGTATTATAGCAAAGACAAATAGCATATGATTAGTGACGGTTATTACTTGGCATTTGTATGCTTCATACTCAGACATGATTTTGAATCATGATCTCTTAAGAGTACTTACATATTGCCTTCTCATCGTACATCTGGGATCATGGAGGATGCTCTCCAGCAACTGACACATTTCCAGAATCCAGCAGTGCCTTCCCTTGCACATTATTGTTCCAAATTTCACATTCCTAGGCAGCATTACCAGCCAAGTCTTCCAGAGAGATGTCCTACTGTTGATTCTGCTGTAAAATAGAGACCCACTTTAGGCATAAATTGACCTCAGAGTTTGTAACCAGAAGGACTATCTCTAATTATATTAGTTACAGTTATTATTAAGAAATAACAATGAGATGGTACCACATAAAGAAAATAAATACGATTTTGTCTTCTGTCCTTTTGATTGCTGCTTGGGTCTTTAATACATTTTCTTCTTAACCTTATCTTAATTCCCTTGGAATATCTGCTCCTTTCTTCTCAGGCTAATCTATGCCTTCTCAGGATCATTGCACCAAACTGAAGTCCGCTCAGTCTTTATAGGCTAATACTATTAAACCTTGTTTGCTTTCTTGCCCATTCATTATTCCTTCCTTATTCACTAAAAATTGCCGATATTTATTAATCACATGCCAAATGCTACACATATGTTTATATCATTCTACAGCAAACAAAGAAGGCACTATATTTTAATTTTTAAAGAAGAGGAAGCTGAGATTTAGAGAAGTTAAGTGACCTGCCCAAGTCCCAGAAACACTAAGTATCTGAACTGGGATTTGAGCCCAGATGTCTGCCTCCAGTTCCTTTGAAACTGTTGGCACTGTGCTATTGTCTTATTTGCTGAGACGCAGGTTACTGTAGCTGTTTGGCCTCCTTTCCCTTAATTTTCCCTTTATGTTAGGTCTTCAATAAATACTGTTTAACTTTTCCCTGGGCTGTTATTATTATTATTATTATTATTATTATTATTATTAGTGGATGATGACTGATGGTATTCGTTGTTTCGTTCTGTTTACTGAATTCTGTTCTTTCAACCGAAATTGAGCTGAGCCTGAATGAGAGGAGCTGGTAGTGCAGCAAGTGCTACGTGGATAACCCTGTTTCAAGGTGTTTTCAAGAAGAAGAAGAGCTTTCTAGGGCTTCAGGAGTCGGTGTAGTCAAACTGTTTGGGAATCCTTTGGTATAATGTTAATACGTAATCCAAACTTTCCCCACCTTCAGTAGGGTGAGCCTATGTAAAAGATTACCATTGTTTTGTGAGTCCATAGAAAGAGGGAAATAGGCAGTTTTCCTGAGCCACAGGTCTGTGTTTTGATTCCTGTAACTCTCAACCTAAGTAATTACAGATAGGAGAGTTACAGATTTCCAATCTCTCCCTCTATCTGTCTCTCCCTCTCTCTCTCTGTCTCTCCCTCTCTCTGTCTCTGTCTCTGTCTCTCTCTCGTGTTCGTGTGTGTGTATCTTTGGACCGACTCCTAGGAGCTGGGAGACCGCCACACTCTAAATCTGTACGTCTGCACTGTTGAAGAGGCTGTTTTACCGTCTCAAATCCAGAAACTCCCCTCCCGCTCGCCTTCTGTCCCCGGGGAGCTGTCAGATTCCCGCCTAGCAGCCCTCCCGCCTCCACACTGACCCTGGAGTCAGTACCCGGCGGCCCCAGAATGACCCCTGACCTTGGCGGGGGAGGAGGGAGATTGCCAAGAGGTATAAATGAGTCAAGAGTGCCGAAGAGACCAGGACCTTGAGGAGTCCGGGTGCGGCGTCAGGCGCCCCCTCCTCTCCGCAGACGGAGGCGGGGGCCAGCCTGGTGCGAGGCGCGCGCCCGCATCTCTCGAGGCCTCCGGGGGCTCGGCGGCAGCAGGAGCTGCGCTGCAAGAGGAGTCCGCGGCCGGCAAGGTCGGGGCGAGTCAAGACCGTCTCCTCTAATGGTTAGGGTCGCTGGCTTTCGCGTCCAATCTCGGTTTCACCTCTAGCCACCTGGGTGACCTTGGGCAATTTCCTTAGCTTTAGCGCGCCAGTTTCTAAATCCATAATGTGGGGAAAGCGAGGTGTTGGCTAAACCTGGGCTTGTAAGAATGAACTAATGAAGCACTCTTGGCACGTAGTAGGCGCTCGGTCACAGGTTAAGCTGAGGAGGAGGAGTTAGAAGTTACGCTTTGGGGTCCGGAAAGTAGGTTCCAGCTCTGACTTCTCCTATATTCACCAAGGAGATGGGGAGGGGGCAGCGGGAGCACCTGTCCTCCCCCCTCCCCTGCTCCTCTGTTGCCAGATAAACTCGGGAGAACCCGGAGAGTCCGTCCCGGGCCGGGGCACCCTCAGACTGCCCGGCTGCCGGAGACTAGCAACGTCTCCTGGCGCCCGCGGCGCATCCCTTTCCCGCGAGCCGAGGAAAGATTTCTTCCCTGTATCTCCCTCCCTCTCGAACCCTGGAGCTCGCTCGCTGCTGCCTCCGGGTCCCGGCGGCCTCGGAGAGCCGGGTCGAGCCTCCGGCTGCAGGGAAGAGGCAACCCCGGGGCGTGCGAGTCCCTCCTGGCCCCAAGCTGGGGAGCGAGGAAGAGGTGGCGCGGAGCCCGCGGGAGGACGCGGAGCCCCGCGAGGCCCCGAGCCCCTTCCTCATTTCGCCCACCTTCCGGGGACCGCTCTGACTTTTTGCGTCCCAAGGCACCGCCACCCACCCTCCCCGGCCGGGGCCAGGGGCCGAGGGCCAGAGGAGCCTGGGACCGCAGCGCCGCGCGGCGGGATTGGGCAGCGAGCGCAGGCCGCGAGGTGAGGACGGGCGCGCGGCGGGCGGGGAGGGTGCCGCCAGTGCGCGCGCGAGTGCGCGTGCTCTGAGGGGGCGTGGGTGCCCGCCAGGCGAGTCCCACCCGGCCGCCAGCCCTTCCTGCACCTGGTCACCGCCGGAGCCTCTCGCCATCCGGCCTCCCTAGGCCCCCAAGTCCCATCAACCCTTCCTGCAAACTCCACCCTCCCTACTAATAATTTCCCAATGCAGAATCAGACTGAAACCTTGAGAGACAGCGCTGTCTTTCTACTCCCCTCGCCGCCCCCCGCCCCCCGCCCTTCCTGCTATAAATAATCCGGACCAGCGGGTCAGGCACGTCACACGGTGAGAAACCGGGACCCCGAGGTTTTCTTCTCTGGGGATAGGGGGCAAAGAGTGAGGAGAAGGAGAAAGAAATTGCTCGTGAGTAGTGAAGAAAAGCTTGCTCTTTAACTCCTAGAAAAGACCAGGCATCATTTTATTATCATTCTTTTTTTCCCTTTTTTTTTTTTTTTCTTTTCCGTGTCTGTCTTATTCTCCAGGCTAAGTCCCC